GCTCTACCTATACATCCCTCTGCTGCTTACTCAAACCCCTGGCCACCACTGATCATATTACTGTCTCTATAGTTTTACCTTTTCCACAATGTTGTATAGTTGGAGGCATACAGTATGTAGCCTTTTCAGACTGGCTTGTTTCACTTAGCAATATGCATTTAAATTTCCTCCATGTCTTTCCATGTCTTCACAGTTCATTTCTTTTAGCACTGAATAATATTCCACTGCAGAAGGACACCTTGGTTGCTTCCAAGTTTTGGCAACTATGAATAAAGCTTCTAGTAACATTCATGTGCAGGTTTTTGTGTGGATGTAAGTTTTCAGCTCCTTTGAGCAAGTACCAAGAAGTGTGATTAATGAATTGTATGGTAAGAGTGTATTTGGTTTGGTAAGAAGCTGCCAAACTGTCTTCCAAGTTGGCTGTGACAGTTTTGCGCTCCCACCAGCAATGGCCCAGAATTCCCATGGCTCCACATCCTCACCAGCACTAGTTGTTGCTGTCAGTGTTCTGGATTTTGACATTCTAATAGGTGTGTAGTGGTGTCTTGTCTTAATTTGCAAATCATTGATGACATGTGATGTGCAACATATTTTCATATACTTATTTGCCATTTGTATGTTTTCTTTGTTGAGTTGTCTGTTAAGATTTTTGGCCCTTTAAAAAAAACTGTGTTGTTTGTTTTGCTATTGCTGAATTTTAAGAGTTATTTGTATATTTTAGATAATAGTCCTTTATCAGATGTCTCTTTTGCAAATGTTATCTCCAGCCTGTGGCTCTTCTTTTTATTCTGTTGTGTCTTTCACAGAGCAGAACAATTTAGTTTTAATGAAGTCTAGCTTTCATGCATGGTGCCTCTGGTGTTTTATCTAAAAAGTTATCATGAAATCCAAGGTCATCTAGATTTTTTCCTAAGTTAATTCTAGGAGTTTTCTAATTTTGTATTTTATATTTAGGTCTGTGATGCATTTTGAGTTAATTTTTGTAGTGGGTATAGGTCTGTATCTAGATTCAGTTTCTTTCTTACTTTTGCATGTGGATGTCTAATTGCTGCAGTAGCATTTATTGAAAAGACTATAATTTTCCATTGTATATTCTTTGCTCCTTTTTCAAAGGTCAGCTGGCTATATTGAAGTGAATCTGTTTCTGGGCCCTCTTTTCTGTTCCACTGATCTGTCTATTCTCCTCCCAGTATCACACTGTCTTGATTACTGTAGCTTTATAGTAAGCCTTGAAGTCAGGCAATATCAGTCCTCTAACTTTGTTCCTCTCCTTTATTATTGTGTTGGCTATTCTGGATCTTTTGCTTCTCTGTATAAACTTTAAAATCAGTTTGTCAATATCCACAAAATAACTTGTTGGAATTTTGATTGGGATTGCATTCAATTTATAGATCAAATTGGGAAGAACCAAGATCTTGAAAATATTTAGTTTTTCTATCCATAAATGTTTCCATTTATGTAGTTCCTTGATTTTATTCATCAGAGTTTTCTTTATATATATTTTGTACATATTTTGTTAGATTTATACCTAAGTATTTAATTTTGGGGGGTGCTAATGTAACTTCTATTGTGTTTTCAATTTAAAATTTTACTTGTTTATTGCTGGTATGTAGGGAAATGATTAATTTTTGTATATTAACCTTGTATCCTGCAACCCCACTATGATCACTTACTAAACCCAAGAGTTTTTTCTGCCACTTACGACATTTGTATTGGCATATAACAATTTAGAAGGGGCCCCTGTTGCCTTATACATCCCACTGAGTAAGGATCTACAGCCATCTACATTGAGCCATCTACATTCATCCTCATTGGGTAATATCTTTTCTTAAATTATAATTTAATTCCCAACACTTTATTTTAACACTGACAAAAGGGAACAATAGCAATTCCTTAAAGTAGGCTGTAATTGGAAAAACATGTTTTGTTTTTTTATATTAAAATTCTAAGATGTTGAACAGTATACACATTTAAAGACTGAATTACCTGTTCTGGAAATACTCTTTGGTTCATTTTTATTTTCCTTCTCTAGGCAAAAGGAAATCTGTTAATGCAGGTTTCAAAAGCTATTATTTCCTGGCACTCATAAACAAATATCCTTACCAAGAAAAGCCATTTGACTTTGAAACCCAAGAGTCTTTTTTTAACTGATTTTTTCAGATTTTCTACATAGACCATCATGTCATCTTTGAACAAAGACAGTTTTATATCTTCTTTTCCAATCTTATATGCTTTCTTTTCTTGTCTTATTGCATCCCCTGTGATGACTAATCTACTTTTGTTTCCGTAAATTTGCTTATTCTGGACATTTCATATAAATGTAATCACACCACATATGGTTTTTGTGACTGGCTTATTTCACTTAATGTTTTTTCAAAGTTTATTCATGTTGTAACATGTATCAGTACTTAATTGCTTTTTACTGCTGAATAATATTTCATTGTCTGCATATACCAGATTCTAGTTATCTATTCTTCAGTTGATAGAAATGGGATTATTTCCACTGTTTTGGCTATCATGAATATTGCTGCTGTGAAGATTCATAAACAAGTTCAAACTCTTTGTGTGAACACCTGTTTTTTTTCTTTTTCTTTTGGTCATATACCCAGGAGTGGAAATGCTGGGTCACATGGTGACTGTGTTTATTTACTCTATTTGAGAACTGCCAGAATGTTTTTCAAAGCGCTGAACACTTACTTTCTCACCAGCAGCATAGGAATGTGACAATTTCTCCACATCCTCAACAATTTTATTCTTTTTCATTGTAGTAATCCTAATAGTGATGGAGTGGTATTTTGTAATTTTGATTTGCTTTTCCCTGATGACCAATAATGTTGAACATCTTTTCATGTGCTTATTGGCCACTTATATATCTTCACTTTCCTGATGCATGTTCTTTGAGGCACAAAAGTTTTAAATTTTTATGAAGTCCAGTTTATGTACTTTGTATTTTGTTGCTTGAGTTTTGGCGTCAGATCTCAGAAACCACTGCCTCATTCAGTGTTACAAAGATTTACCCCTATGTTTACATCTAAGTTTTCTAGTTCTTCTATTTTCACAATTTTAGGCCTTGGTACCCTGGTCAAAAATAATTGACCATAAATGTGAGCATTTATTTCTGGACTCTCAATTCTATTTCCATGGACCTATGTTTCTACCCTTATGCCTGAACCACCCTGTGCTGGTAACTGTAGCTTGTAGTAAGTTTTGACATAGTGAAGTCTGAGTCCTCTGAAACATTCTTGTTCAAATAGTTTTGGCTATTCTAGGTCCTTTGAATGTCCATATGGATGTTAGGATCAGTTAGTGAATTTCTGCAAAGGAGTCAGCTGGGATTTTCATAGGGATTATGTTGAATCTGTAGATCATTTGGGGGGTATGGTTTAATTAGCAACATTAAATTTTCTGATTCATTGAACATGAGATGTGTTTCAATTTATTTATATCTTCTTTAGTTTCAACAATATTTTTTTGGCTCTAGTCTGTGAGTTTTGCACTTCTTTTGTTAAATCTATTCCTAAGCATTTTATTACTTATGGTGCTAAATGGAATTGTTTATTTAATTGCATTTTCAGATTGCCCATTGCAAGTGTATAAAAACACGATTGATTTTTGTGTATTGATTTTTATATCCAGCAATCCTGCTGAGCTATTAGTTCTAATAGTTTTTTAGTGGATTCCTTAGGATTTTCTATGTACAAGGTCATGTAATCTTCAAATACATTCTACAATAGAGTAAATAAATACTGTTACCAACTGATGAATAGATAACTAGAATCTGGTATATGCAGACAATGAAATATTATTCAGCAGTAAAAAGAAATGAAGTACTGATACATGTTGCAACATGAATAAACTTTGAAAAAAACATACTAAGTGAAATAAGCAAGTCACAAAAACAGTATGTGATATGATTATATCTTTTTACTTCATTTACAATCTGGATACCTTATATTTCTTTTTTTTCCTACATTGTTGTCTTTGTGGAAGATGAAAAACTTCTGAATAATTTAGAACTTGCATGTCTCGTCCCAGACTCACTTACCATGTGTGCTTTTCATATCCCCTTCTCCACCAAACCCAATCCCTAATTATTTTCTGCATGCTGTGCAGGATGCTATTGTTCTGGTTATTTATCTCCCAATCTAGTTTTCATGTCTGTTTATCTGTCATTAAACACAGTTGCATAGCCTCCCTTTCTGGTAACATCTGGGTCATGCTGGCATTGCTGTTGTACTTGTTCTCATCTTCATTAGCCTAACTCTTACAAAACATGATTGTGATATTCACAATGTTAAAAATTCTACCAGCATTATCTTGAAACAAAGCACAGCAATTAATCCATAGGTAGAATCAAAGGCAAACTGTTAAAACTCAGAATTACAATGCAGTTAGGTTGGATAGTTAAGTTGTAGCACTGGGAGTGAATCACAATACTGTAATGCAGGGGTGTTGAACTCACTTTCACTGGGGGCCACATCAGCCTCGAAGTTGCCTTCAAAGGGCCAAATGTAATTTTAGGACTGTATAAATGTAACTACTCCTTAACAGTTAAGCCAGAACTCAGTGCTGCCGCCGGGTAGAAACAAGGTGGAGGGCTGGATTTGGCCTGTGGGCCTTGTGTTTGCCACCTGTGTTGTAATGGATAATCTATGATTGTGAACTGCAAATTATGGAAAACAGTGATTGACCTATGGAAGATGAATCATCTATGTATATCCATTTGGCATTAAAAATATTTTGCATTCAGCTCCTATTTTTGAGGCCATCACTGAAAAATGGGACTTTATGCACCTTGAAAGGGGTTTGCTGGTCCATGGAACTTGCAGAGCAAAAGCTGGAAAGGTGCTGGAGAAACTGAGACAGTTGGTTGCCCTAACTCTGCTCCTCTACAGGTCAAGGTTCTCCACACATAGTCTGATGTGATGCAGCTCCCTGGGTTGCCTCAGCCTAACAAGCTCACTTTTGTGACTGCTGTTTTGCTATTTAACTTGTTCTAGGATAAGACCATGAGACTATGGAATATTGAAGAAATTGACAATGTTCCTTTGGTAATCGAGTACAAAAAGGCCCTGGGTTTAAAGGTGAAACAGGTAGGTATTGGGTAAAATAAGGTGCAATGAAAACTTTCATTAGTTACTACTACAAATTAATTTATTTTGTGAATAAACATTTATTGAGCAATTGAGGGTAAAACCATGAACAAACAGATTGAAATCCTTGCCCTGAGGGAGCTTAAATTTTAAAAGGGGAGAAAAACAAAGAAATAAAAATATTTAGTGAGTCACATGGCGATAAGTAATTTGGAGAAAAATAACATAGGGAAGGGAAATAAGAGTGCTGGAGGTTGCTCCGTTTCAAAGGGTAGACAGGATAGGTTTATTAAGGTGACAGTTGTTCAAAGACTTGCAGGTGGTGAGGGAGTGAGATGTGCAGATGTTTAGGGGAAGAACTTCTCAGCAGAGGGAACAGCCAGTGTGGAGACCCTGAGTCAGAAGTGAGCCTGATGTATTTGGGGACTGATGTGAGTGGGCAGGACTGGGAAATGAGGCCTGAGGGAGCACTAAGCACATAGCTGGACACTGTGTGAGCCTCCTATACTCTGGCAGCAGACCCTCTGGCCAGGCCCCCAGTGCCCCATTTCCCATGGAGGGGGCTCAGGTGCCTGTTTCTCTAGCGAAAGATCGTGGTGGTAGAGTGGACATATCTTCTGCTTCCCCAGGTGTGGCCAGGGCTGGCCCTGAGCAGTGGAGGCCTGTCCCTGCTAGGACCACAGACTAGACACCTGCCTGCCACCTTAAGAGGCCGAGGAGTCTACGCTGGGCCCTCTTGAGCCTTACTTCCCTTAGAATCCCACAGCCACCTAAGCTTGTCTCCTCTCAGGAGGTCTGGCTGGGAGCCACTGCTTCTGGGAATGACTAATTTGGAAACAGCACTGTGGGGCAGGGAAGTGAGGGGTGGGACCCACATGGACCTCATCTTTGTGACCAGCTGGTTCTCATGGCTTTTGTGGTCATGTTGGCCTTCAGGCTTGGAAGCTCACTGGCTACAGAGCAGTGCTAGTCCCTGTCATTCTGGGGTTGGGACATGAGAAATTATACTGTAGAATAAAGATAGTGTAATTTAAAAAAAAAAAAAAAGGCTGGGTTTTCTCAGAGGCTGGATTTCTCAGAGAGTCTGCTCCATGCAGGGTTTGCCCCATCTCTCCTCCAGTCCTCTGGGTCCTGAAATAGGCAAGGGTGGAAACGTACAGGGGCTTGGGGTGCCAGAGCAGGGGCATGTCACCTTGCAGGCTTGTCTTAGGGGACTATGTTGAGAGCCCAGGCCATGCATGGTATTGCTCACTTGTTTGTGGGAAGCAGATGCAGTGAGTAAGCTGTGCAGTGGCATCCACAGTTCTCTGTGTTCTCTGGCCAGAAACAGGCTCTGAGATGGAGGAGGATGCTCAGCATGTTCATCATCTAGTAAAAAATCCTGCTTTTTTAGAAATCTTGCTTATTTGCTTCTCATGGTTTTGTAAAAGCGAGGTGCCCCCAGGATGTTGAGAAATTAGGATATCTCCTTGGCCCCATAGCTGCTCTGCACAGAGCAGAGGATGGGATTGGACCCCTCCTCCTGGTTCTCTCTACTGCCAAATAGCCTGCCACTTCTGACCCCAGGACCCTTATGGCAGGAGACATGAGCAGGAAGTATCTGCATAACTTCTGGGGGGAAGAAGTCTGTGCTCACACTCTCTCAATGACCTATAATTTCCACCCTTGTTTGGGGAGAGACCCCAGAGAGGAGAGGCATCTCTTACCCTGACCTAACCCAAGGTGGCTGGATCAGGTGGAAGAATTCTAACTGCATACCTTGATCTCCTCTGACTAGCACCTCCTTTCTGCTTTTTAAATATTTTGTGTCAAGTGTGAAGAATGTGAAAGGCCTTTCTCCAACTATGAAAGTGACATCTACTCTGAAATAGTCACCAAATGTGTGTTCTGCCGGATGGATGCACAACACTTGTCAGCAGAGACCTCATCATCACCAGAAAATGACTCAGCAGCAAGCGGGTACAGCCTGGGCGAGGATGACTGATGGCCATCTGGTCCTTTGAGTGACTTGAGCACAGGCCACCTGTCATGTAGGTGTCAGGGATCTGCAGAGATCTTTCTCTGGGGTCATTCCCTGGCTGGGCCTATCAGAGTGAGGCAGGGGCCAAGCCCTCAGGTGGCTCCCACCACCATGCCACCTCCTTAGCTCCATTCCACCTTTTCTTTCTTTTCTTTTCCCACAGCACCCTTATTGAATGGGATTGGATGCTTTGTTTTTAGTTTTTAGGCAGAATAAACTTAGATACTTTTGGAAAACTAGTGTGCATGTGAATTCCAGCAGCATTTTTTGTTATTTATAAGCTTATGTCTTATTCATCCAGACACATCTGGATTCCCATTCTAGTCTCTGGAGTTGCCCTGTAAAGCAGCCCTCTGGGGCTGGCACTAACAGCACCTGAGGAAGGGCTTGTGGAATGAAGAGGAAAGTGTGTGGGCCCCCCTCTGTGGAGGAGACTGTAGATGCTTCCCTGTCTAATGCTCCCAGATGGCCACCTGCCTAGAGCAGAGGAAGGTCTGATTAGACAGGCATGTGGTGGGCCTTTCATTCCAGAATGTTTTATGCTCTCCACTCCAGACTTTTCAATTTCCAGAATGCCTCTTCCTGCTTCCACAGCATATCTACAACATAATTACTTCAGAAGTAAAGGTTTCAGTTGACAAAACATAAAGGGCTCCCTTTTACATTTGGTATTGCTCACATGATTTCTGTCAAATACCACTCACATGTCCCTTGGTCCATTTTAAAAGCTTAATTGCAGGACTGCTTTATTTAGTGTCAGTTGACTAGCATCCAATAATTCTGCCCAGGAGCACATTAACCTTGTAGTCATTCTTTGGGCAAGTCCTGTGCTTTGTGCTGTCCTCCTCAGTCACAACCCTAGTGACTGCTCAGACTTGAGCTGGCTGGTCAGTAGTTAATGATGTATGAACATGTCAAAATTCTAACTTGCACTCTCAGCCACTCGGCTCTCCTTTGAAGAAAAGTCCTATTGCTAGTGGTCTCCGTTTTCCAATACATAGATTTATACTTCCCTTGGGGGATGGGTGGACTACTACATCAACATTGACCTCGCTGATGGGAATTTAGGTTGTTTCTTGTTTGTTTGCGATTACAAATAATACTGGAGTGAATCTTCTTGTTGCATATATTTTTTTTCAGAAATTTACATTTCTGTGGAGGAGACTCTCCCAGCCCAGTGATTGCTGGGTGAATGGATTAACAGGGTATGGTTTAGTTGTTGCTCAAGGGCTCTTTAAAGTGTTGGGACGACGTCACTGATATGTCTGAGTGAGGAGACCCAGACTGGGAAGAAGTGAGAAGCCTAGATGGGTAGGACCTTGCCTGGCAGCAGAATCCTCCCCATGACTGGTGGTGCTCCAAAGCCAGTAGCCCAGGTGCCTTGAAGCTCTCGATTTCTGTGTCCCCGGACTCTTCCCCTTTCAAACATGGTCTCGACAGGCGAGTAGATGAGCCTCCAGGATGACAGGGCCTTTGATACCAATGGTCAGAGTGAGGCCGAGGTGGTCCACCGAGGAGGGCGCCAGTGCGATGGGTACGATGCGTGGTCACCATGGGACCACCTTGGGGTGTGTGCCCAGACCCATCGCTGGGGTAGCGGGCAGCCGCCGCACTAGCGGGACGGGGATCTCCGGAGTGGGAGGTGATTTGGCCTCTCGTGACAGACTGGTGGAGTCCCTGAGTCAGTTTTGGAGGGCGGAAGGCCCGGACCTGCAACAAACATCCTCCAAAGAAGGAAGCCACACTGGTTCCAAAGCCCAACGCGGACATTAAAGATATCCGGAAGAGAAACCTGTTCAGGTTCTGCTCACCCAGCGTTGCGGGAGCTTCAGATCTTGGTGTCCCACAACTCTACTACATCGGCTGGAGTAAAAGCCTACATCACGCATGCGCGGGCCACCGGCAGAATTTGTGCGCATGCGTGCAATTGGTGGCGTAAATAGTGATGAGGTACAATTCTCGCGGTACCTGTGCGGGCGGCGCCGTGGCTTAGTTGGTTAAAGCGCCTGTCTAGTAAACAGGAGATCCTGGGTTCGAATCCCAGCGGTGCCTCAACCGAGCGTCTCGGCTCACTTTTTGCCCATTTCCAACTTCACTCGGGGTCTCTACCCTACTTCTCCCCGTTTTGGGGGTGTGAAGGTGGTTCTGAGAAGTCCTTTTAGCCGACCATGTCATGCCGGCGGGATGGACTCCCACCCTCTCTGGAGTCTGCCCCTCAGGTATCTGAGAGCTGCAGCACGTCTTCCACTTCGGCAGCTGACCAGAGTGGACACCCCTAGGGGGCATCGCGGGACTCCCGGTTGCAGCTGCTTGTAAGGGACCATGGAAACACTCCCGCAGAGGCCACTACGGCCTGGGACTGGGCGCGGCAGGGTAGGGTGGGGTGGGGTGGGGTGGGGTGGGGCGCTAGGGTGGAGCTGATATTCTCCGAGGCTGCCCTAGGGTAGGGGAGCCGGAGTTTGGCAGCGGCAGACTGGACCCCGCGCCTTGAGCCTCTCTCAAGTCTGCTAACTTTCTGCTCTCTTATCCTTGCAGTCGCTGCCACAATTTCACAGACTGAAGACCGGGGCATAGAGAGGTCAAATGAAGCCCAAAGTCAGGGGGCGGCTGCAAGAGGGGAGGATTGAATTCGGCCAACGTGTCCCCAAGGCTGACCAAAGTATGAAAACTCTTGGGAGGGAACAGATCTAGCAGTACTCTAAGTTTGGAGCCAGCTTCTCTAGAGGGCCAGTGTGCGGCTGCGCCCAAAGGTTCGGGCTGGGTAAAAACACGAAGGGGCGGGGGCGGTGCCTGACCCAGAGCAGTTGCAGCGAAGTCTCTGGGGCGCGGTGAGGCATTGGAAATTTTTTTAAAAAGTTGCCAGGAATGTTGATGTGAAACTCAACATTTCATGTCAGTCGCAATAGGACAGTTTCAGTGAGCTGCAGAAATTGCAGTTATGGATCAGCCTGTACTCCCAATAGTCAAATTCACCTGCCCCAGAAGCAGCTCTTCTCTTTGTTTCTTCCATGGGTGTGGGTTTATTATCTGTTTTTTAACTTTTGTTTGGGGGTCGATTTCTTTACCTTTACAGCTTGGTTGTTTTTATTGACATTACAAAGAACAGCCTGTTGCAGATCTGATAGGAACATCTGATAGATGAGTTTATTGGTAACAGGGCTTGAGTCCTTGTGGGGCAGTAGTTTTCTGGCACATCTTTACTGCTAACCTGAGGTATTGGGTTGGCCAAAAAGGTTTTTTTTTGTTTTGTCTGTGTGATGGCTCTAGTAGCACTTAGTTGTTTAACTTCATCTGAAACAATTTTGTTAGATTGTATTGTGACAGCTCCCTCTCAGCGTGCATTAAAAAAAACTCATCGAATTTGGTGAATTTTTGTGTAGCCATTTTAATATTGAAGATGGAAGAAAATATGCAACATTTTTGGCATATTATGCTTTATTATTCCAAGAAAGGTAAAAAGCAACTCCAAAAAAAAATATGCAGTGTATGGAGAAGGTGCTGTGACTGATACAATGGGTCAAAGTGGTTTTGTGAGAAGTTTGGTGCTGGACCATCCACACAGTTGGGTAGACCAGTAGAAGTTGATAGCAATCAAATGGAGATGTTAATTAACAACCAGCTTCTACCATGCGAGAGGTAGCTGACATAAAATATCCAAATCAATACAGTTATGAGTGAAAATAAAAAAATGTGTCTTTTATTTTACATAAAAAAACCTAAATGAACTTTTTGAGCATTTGCTTATTGGTGGCCAAGGGGAGAGGTTTAATTTTGTTCAAAAAATTTTTTTCTTAGTTCTCAGAGTATATTTTGCATATTTTTTGTTAAATTTATCCCTCAGTATTTTCTTCTGTTTGATAATTATTGTAAATGGAATTACTTTCTTAATTAGATTTTCAGACTGTTTATTGCAAATGTATAGAAATGCAGTTGATTTTATATTTTAATCTTAAATCCTACAACCTTGCTGGACTCGTTTATTAGTTCTAATAGGTTTTTAGTGAATTCCTTAGAGATCTTCTATTTTCTTGGGTTTTCTATATGCAAATTCTGTGTTTTGTGAATAGTTTTACTTTTCTTTTTTCATTCTGAGTTTCTCTTATATCATTTTCATGCCTAATTGCTTTGGCTAGAACCTCCAGTACAATATTAAATAGAAGTGGTGAGAGCACACATTTTTGTTTTTTTCCTGATCTCAGGGGCATCCAGTCTTTCATACTTCATACTTTATGAAATGATGATGTTAGCTGTGGATTTTTCATAGATGCCTTTTATCAGCTTGATGAATTTTGATTAGGAAGTCCCTTTGATTCCTAATTGGTTGACTGTGTTGAATTTTTTCAAATGCTTTTATTTGCTTGTTAAAATAATTATGTGGCTTTTATTTTTTTCTACTGGTATGGTGTATTATGTTAATTCATTTTCAGATGTTAAGTCAGCTTGGCATTACTGGGATAATTATCATGTCCATATGTTTTTTTAATATATTTTATTGATTATGCTATTACAGTTGTCCCATTTCCCCCCTTCACTCCCCTCCAACCTGTACACCCCCTCCCACCCACATTCTCTGCCTTTAGTTCATGTCCATGTGTCATACTAATAAGTTCTTTAGTTTCTCCATTTCCCATACTATTCGTGCCCTCCCCCGTCTGTTTTCTACCTACCATCTATGCTACTTGTTCTATGTACCTTTTCCCCCTCTCTCCTCTTCCCACTCCCCTGTTGCTAATCCTCCATGTGATCTCCATTTCTGTGGTTCTGTTCCTATTCTAGTTGTCTGCTTAGTTTGTTTTGTTTTTGTTTTAGGTGTGGTTGGTAATAATTGTGAGTTTGCTGTCATTTTACTATACAATTTTTAATCTTCTTTTTCTCAGATAAGTCCCTCTAACATTTCATATAATAAGGGCTTGGTGATGATGAAGTCCTTTAAATTGACCTTATCTGAGAAGCACTTTATCTGTCCTCCCATTCTAAATAAAACCTTTGCTGGATAGAGCAATCTGGGATGTAGGTCCTTGCCTTTCATGACTTGGAATACTTCTTTCCAGTCCCTTCTTGCCTGTAAGGTCTCTTTTGAGAAATCAGCTGACAGTCTGATGGGAACTCCTTTGTAGGTAACTGTCTCCTTATCTCTTGCTGCTTCTAGGATTCTCTTCTTCATTTTAATTTTGGGTAATGTAATTATGATGTGCCTTGGTGTGTTCCTCCTTGGGTCCAACTTCTTTGGGACTCTCTGAGCTTCCTGGACTTCCTGGAAGTCTATTTCTTTTGCCATATTGGAGAAGTTCTCTTTCATTATTTGTTCAAATAAGTTTTCAGTTTCTTGGTCTTCCTCTTCTCCTTCTGGCACCCCTATGATTTGGATGTTGGACTGTTTAAAGATGTCCTGGAGGTTCCTAAGTGTCTCCTCATTTTTTTGAATTCTTGTTTCTTCCTTCTTTCCTGTTTGGTTGTTTCTTTCTTCCTTCTGGTCCACTCCATTGATTTGATTCCCAGTTTCCTTCCCATCACTATTGGTTCCTTGTACATTTTCCTTTATTTCACTTAGTGTTGCCTTCATTTTTTCATCTAATTTGCAACCAAATTCAGTCAATTCTGTGAGCATCCCGATCACCAGTGCTTTGAACTGTGTATCTGGTAGGTTGGCTAGCTTTTTGTCACTTAGTTGTATTTGTTCTGGAGCTTTGATCTGTTCTTTTGTTTGGGCCATTTTTTTTGTCTTGATGCACCTGTTATGTAGTGAGGGTCAGAGCCTTAGGTGTCACCAGGATGGGGCAACCCAGTCACTGTGTTGTGATGCTGTATGTGGGGCAGGGGTCTGAGAGGGAACAATGGTACTTCCTCCACTCTCTGCCGTCTTTCAGTCCCTTCTGCCACTTCCCCCAAGCAAACTGGGCCCTTCTGGTGCTGATTCCCATGTAGGTGGGTTTGTGTACTTTCTAGGACCCTGTGGGTCTCTCCAATGAACTTTCCTGTGAGGCTGGGGGTCTCTCCCAGCGCCTCAATCCACACAGGTGTTTTCAATTGGTGTTTTGAGGCTTTATTTCCCCATGCTGGCACTGTGTGTTGTGTGGTCTGTTTCACTCCCCAGTTTTGCCTTGTTTATCCGCTTGCGATTGTGGGACCACCTGGCCTGCCAGCCGCATTGTGCACTCTGCCCCTCCACAATCTGCTGCCTCCCTGGGTCCACCAGCTGCTGCGTTTTTTTTTTTTTTTTGACTCCTCTCCGCCCTGCCACCCAACTCCACCCCTCCTACCGGTCTGGATGAATGTGTCTACTTTAACTTCTTGGTTGTCAGACTTCCATACAGTTCAATTTTCTGTCAGTACTGGTTGTTTTTTTGTTTCAAAATTTTTGTTGTCCTTAGTTTGGTTGTGTGAGGAGGCACAGTTTGTCTACCTACGCCTCCATCTTGGCTGGCAGTCTACATGTGTTTTTAACATAAATGATTAACATGTTATTCTTGAAAGTCTTTCCAGATGGTGCTCTTGGTTTCATTATGTCCTCATTTATCACTTTCCAGGCATCCTGGCTTGGCCGTGTGGCTGTTGCATGAATCAGAAGACCCCTCTCTTGCTGGTGGATATTGGAGTGGTGTGGGGTTTTTTTTGTTTTTGTTTTTTCTGAATGTCACCACAATAGACAAAGCTGGGATGGCACTTCCCTCACATACAGTTTTTTTTGTGCGGGAGTTTTTTTGTTTTTTGTTTTTAATTGATTTTAGAGGGGAGGAGGGAGAGAGAAATAGAAAGAAACATTGACTTCTTGTTTGACTTCTTTATGCATTTGTTGGTTGATTCTTGTATGTGCCTTGATCTGGGATCAAACCCACAACCTTGGTATATTGGGATGACACTAACCAACTGAACTACTGGGCCAGGGCCTATGTGCGTGTGAGTTTTTCAAAGACAAGGTTGAGAGAGGATTTCTGAGTGTAGTATGTATAAGCCACACTGATTTCCCCCTGCTTGAGCTTTTCTGGAGTACCCATTCCTTCATACCCTGCTAGAACTGGAGCCTGTCAATATCAGGGACAGCATCTCATTGTTATTTTAATCCATATTTTCCTTGCTTACAAGGTGGAGTTGGGGATCCTTTCAGATGCTTATTGGACATTTGTATGTCTTCTGTGAATTGCCTGTTTATGTCCTTTGCTCAGTATTTCAGTTGTGTTGTTCGTTTTTCTTACAGATTTGTAGGTGGAGTTTATATTAGATAAGAATCCGTTGCCTTTTATAGATGTAGTCAATATTATCTCTCGGTCTTTCATTTGCCTTTTGACTTTGTGGGAGTCTTTCATCTTTTTATTTAGCTATACTGTCTTTTAAGTCATTTGATCAGTTTGCAGTGTTCTTAATCTAGGTCTTGCATGTTTCTTGCAAGGTATGGTGAATGGGACAATTTTCCTATTAATTTAGAAAATATGTATTTTATTGATTATGCTACTACAGTTGTCCCATTTTTTTCTCCCTTTTATCCCCTCCACCTTGTACCATCCTCCCTCCAGCATTCCCCCTGCCTTAGTTAATGTTCATGTGTCATACATATAAGTTCTTTGGCTTCTACATTTCCTGTACGATTCCCAACATCCCCCTATCAATTTTGTACCTACCAATTATGCTTCTTATTCCCTGTACCTTCTCCCCAGTTCTCCC